GTTGCACGGTATAAGTAGGGCCGCTCGCCATCCATCTTCCGGTCGGACCATTAAAGGAACAAGTAAGGTTCGCGCTGCTCTCGCCCTCCTCGCACCTCCCTTGGCACGCCGGCCGCTTGGCACTCCCTCCCTGCTGCACACAGTCGGGCTGGTCGAGGGTTCGAGTCGCAGTAGCAGTTTGCCAGTAGTATCTTTTTCTTCCGCGGCGGCTGCCCGTATTCCGGCGGCGGCGGCGGCGGGGGCGGCAGGCGAGAAGGCGCGGCGAGCACGCCATCTGTTTCACTGAGGCAACAACTAGGACCGCCATTAATCTGAGGGATTGTGGTTGAGGCGGCCGGGCGGGCCGGGCCGAGCTGGCAGGCGAGCGGGAAGGCAGAGCCGGGCGGAGCCGCTGCAGGACGACTCGAGGCCTACTATTTCCTTCTTACCGCCGTAAGGAGACACAAACTCATCTCTAAGCAGGCAGATCTGCGGAGTAAATTACCACTACGTGCGACGCCGTGAGCCGGATCCTCGGTGTGGAGGACCTGAGAAGGTTATGCCCAAGTTCTCTGGAAAGACTTTGTTTCAAAATGGTTTTTTTTTTCGCTATATACTGATGGAAAATTGTTTGTCTTTCTTTATGGCCGACCAAAGACGAGAGCGCGACGAAAGGCAGCGGACCTTAGATCCATTTCAATCAAACCCCGCGCCCTATCTCAGCCGCCCTTCATCTCTGGCGTGGGTTCACTCGAGGCCAACAGTCGTGACCTCCAGCAGCCCAGCCCCTTTTTGATTCTGCAGACCGACGAGAGCCTGAAGGCAACGCGGGAACGCACGTGAAAACGTATCGGAAGTCAAGGCGGCTTGGGAGGAGGGTTGGGGGGGTGACGACGATGGTGACTTCACCCTCCGCCCCTGCCGCTCCCCCACGCCGCAATACAACCTGATCCGGCGGCTGATGAAAGGGCCTGCCCTGCCCCCTTTGGCAGCGACTTTGGCAAATCTAGATTATTCGCACCCCGCGCCAAGCAGGGCACATGGACTGTCCACGACCGGGACGAAACTCGTAAAGAGCAGGGAAAAAATCCCTCCCTCGGCCCCCGCCCTCTTTTTTTGGGCGACCTTTTGACCACGCAAGCGTAACGCTGGTGGCCCTCGGCGAAGGAAATCGGGGAGGGACAGGAGGGGGATGAGGGTAGGGGGGGGGGGGGGCTCAAGCGGAAAACAACATCTTGCCGGAGTTTTACGGCAAAAGAATGCTGTGAACCCCAAATTGAAATTAGCAATTATATAAAAACAGCCGGGCGACCAGTCCCATTTAGTTTCTACGTGAAAGCCGTCGGGTCCATACGGAGGTCCCATTTTGTTTCGCCACACGGGATGCTCCTCCCGATGGATGTCCCCGTCGGCAATCCCACCCCAGCCCGCCAGCTAATCCAATCAAATAGACGGGAAGGAATCTGTTTGCTAATCTCTGCGGTGACGCCGCCAGCGCCTTCCTTTTCTCGGGGTCCTCGGCCGCACCTTACGGCACCTTATTACCTATCGGATTGAGATTAGAGCGCCGCCTTTTGAGGGGCGCCCCGGCGGCGCTAGCCCAGAGATTGTGTGGGCGACAGCGGTCCAACCAAACAGGATGTCATCAGGGGAGTGTGTCCCCGGCGAGACCATCAGCTCGATGAGGAGGAGCTTATTGAGGGCCAGAGATAACTAACGTCACGTGTTGATGTGTCGGAAAGGTAGACGACGAATTTAGTTCGACCGTATTGATAGAATGGCTTTCACCCGCGCTGCAGACAGCAAGAAGAAGAAGAATAAAATCAACCTCTGAGGAAAAAGTGGAAAAGCGGAAAGATTGTCTGAAAACTGTTGTAGCAGTGTTGCACATGAGTTTCAGTTATGACAGTTTCTCTTTTCAATAAAAGTGCGGGCACGGGGCGTAAGCAAAAATCACTTTGAAAAGTTTCGTTGCTTCCGAGTTTGCTCTGCCCTAGCGTGTGGTCGAGTGCTGTTTACTCATTCTTTTTCTACCTTAAGTAGTTGTCAGTCGTTTGTGACACTGTTTGCGTGGAGGTAGTAATTAGTTGGTGCTGCCAAACAGGACAGCGGGATGGTAGAACGAAGGGTAGAAAAAAACACAATAAAACGACACCGCAGCTGCGCAGGGTGCGATGAAAGTGCGCTTGCGAGCGGGGAGCGCCCGTGAGGTAGGCAACTCGCGGAGCGCGTGGCACGGGTGGCGGGCGGGCCTGCCCACCTCGCGGGCGCCCGGCCCTGCTCGGCCCGGCCCCGGTGCACTCACACAGGACGGCGAGCGGCAGCGGCGGCGACTGGCCCCTGCCCTCGCTGTTGCTGGCCGCGCACACGTAGCTGCCGGCCGCGCCGCGGCCCACGCGCTGCAGGATGAGGGTGCGGTCGTTGAGCAGCACCCCCCGCGCCGGGCTCGTCTTCAGCTCCAGACCCTGCGGACAACCAAAAGGGACGGTTCTGTACGGAGACACGTGATACGTTATGACATCCTTTTCTTCAATTTGCTCAGTAAGCGGCTTTTTCAAAACAAAACGGTGCACCGAAATCCGTTTTTGCGATCCTCTTACTAAGTTAAGGTGATAACTTTCTTTTGCAAAATCAATACCTTTTATTACAAAAATATTGAGATAAAAAGTAATCATGCCCTTTAGCATGAGAATCTCAAAGCTTGGTCATCGCAAAATTTTTGGTTGAAAGTGCAGCAAATAACCAGTTTCAGTATACATACTATAGTGGTTCTACGCTCACAAGAGTGGGGCAAACTGCCTGACTTGTTTGCCCCACTTCTCGCCTCGTGCGCCTGACCTAGAGGAATGTCCGCTCCATGCAGATCGCACGTATGAGCAGCCGGCATTCATGTAATGAAAGCCTTCGAAAAAAGGTATACTCTGTGTATACAGATTTCAGACCATTCCATTTTCCGTCCTTTGTTTCCCAATATCGCACTGGGATACACAGAGAACACGGCTTTAAAAATCCCTGTCCGGGATTGGTGCGGCCCGGCCGGCCGCTCTCCGCTGGGCTCCTATTAGCGACTGATGGATGCCGCCAACTTCTGTCGAAAGCACCAATTTCCGGAATGGAAATGAGTCATCGCCCTGCGCTGGTCTGGTCCGACCCGGCCGGGGGCAGACCGATCGCAGATAAAAGGGATCGCCATATCGGTCTCTCC